CCGGGGAGGGCGTGAAGGAGGCGTTGTTTGTGCGTGGCGTTCTGTCGTTCATAGCGCCCGAGACGAGTGGGGCGAAGATCAAGGTCCTTGAGGACAACAAGTGGGCTCTCGCCTTAATCGAGAACCCGTTCAGCTCAGCGAGGAGCAAGCACATCGACGTGCGGTTCCTTTCATTCGCAAGCGATTCAAGTCGGGCAAGAGTACTGGAGAGTATGTTCCGACTGGAGAGCAGCACGCCGACATGCTGACCAAGATCCTTGGCAGAGAGAAGTTAGAAAACCACCGGAAGGCTCTGATGAACCTACCGATGTAGTGTTCTCTTGTTCTGTTTGGTTTATGTGGTGGTTTTAGCACTTGGCATATATGACCATGGTACGTCACGCAGGAAGCGTTGTGCCGGCGCGTCACCCGCGGCTGGAGCCTAGAAAAGCCGAGAGCGTTGCTTCGGGTGTGTATTCAGCGTGACCGGTTCAATCTGTCCTCTTGGTCTTGTCTTGGAAGTGCGGCCGTTGGAATCCTCCGTGATAGCGATGATTTTCTATATCAAGGGTGTTAGACGAGGGTTTTTAATCCGGTTGGCCGGGTTTTCCCTCGAGCCGTTGTTGTTTTGAGTCCCTTTGGTAAATCAGGGGTATCCATGCCCCACGGCAGGTTTGCCATTAGCATGCAAACCGGGGAGGGTGTTCGTGTGTTTGGACACGGACTGTTTAGATCTACCGGCAACAACAGAGGGCACGCAGATGGGGCATATGTACACCTTAAAATGGTTGCATGTGCGGGGATCCCTCGAACTCCAAAGAGGGCTTCACCTCTCCCTACTCCCCTTGCGTGTCTAATACAAGAGATAAAACGTCTTCCCCTTCCAAGTAAAGGACATATACGAACACACNCTTCACCTCTCCCTACTCCCCTTGCGTGTCTAATACAAGAGATAAAACGTCTTCCCCTTCCCAGTAGATGACATATACGAACACCAGAAACCCTTCCGTTTCGCCCACAGCAAACCAAGCCCACCAGGGGTGCCGCTGGGTCTCGTTCAATTCCCGTTGACTCCACGAGTAATCGCGGACGAGCCGCCGCTAGTGACACCGTCACACCGTCACCATGCTCGCACGGCACGTTTTGTAGCCCTTGCACCTGCAGCTGTGCCGGCACCCCCACCCATACTATCTTCTGTTAGCGAACGTGCTGCTACGGCAGCAGCTCTCGAGCGAGTTCGTCGTACTGAAGCCCGCAATGCTGAACTATTTCTATGTTGCAGCAGATGGCTTTCACTCAAGCTGGGACGACGACGGGAAGGGCCGCTTCCCCAGGACAGCAGTTCTAGTGCCGAAAGCGAATCCAACGGTTAGAGCCGCTCCAACGATTCCGGAGCTGGTCGGAGCCGCCAAAGAAGCCGCCCGCGGGACACATCCTCGGATTGGCGCCAAGCGGGAGGCCACCAGCGTGGTGGTAGTTCCGATCAGCGCCAGCGTGGCGGTGCTCCTGCTGCTGCCGCCTCTTCTTGTTCTTCGTCCTCCGGGCAGAAAAGGAAGGTTCGGAGGGGTACCCGCCCCGCCGATTCTGTCAGCGGAACTAGCTCTGGCTCCGCTTCGGAAAACAGTCTTCCTCGGAAGGCTCCTGCTGGCAAACGGGATGACTGGGGTCTTCCCTCTTCCAGGCAAGTGGTACCGTTGTTAATCGATGTTGCCTCCGACGATCGTTGAGACGCTTTGTTGCGTAACGGTCGTGTTGTGGCTAAGGACAATAAGTTGTCTGTTGCCCACCGTACTGCTGTATCTAATGCTAAACCATCGGTCAAACTAGAGCACCGTGCACTCGATGCACGTGTGCCAGTCGATGATAGTGCTCTACCGCTTTCATCTACCATCGCTCATGGTCTCCAAGATGCTGTCGATGTCGCACAAGCTGCATCTGACGCTGCCCATGTCGCTAAGGTTCAACGTGAATACATCACCCTCAATCTTAAAGAAGTTGAGCGTGTTGCTACTCTGCCGTTCCCTGCATCCGTGCTGCCTGCTAATGCATACCAACAACTGATTCGCTCAGTGAGGTCCGCAGTGACTGACATATTGCTGTTGTGCGATGACCGCAGTCTCGGTTTGACGGATAGTGATATTGTCTGTGGTTGGGAGCGCCCTCTTGAGAAGAAACTTTTGAGTGCTATCACCCCTGACAATCAACGACTTCCGACCTCACCCTCTCCATCTCCGACTACTTTCAGCAAGTAACGAGGAGCTTGGATGGTGGAGCTATAGGACCTGAGGCGTTCCAGCTCCTACTGAGGCACCTGTCGGAGCAATTCGATGTCAGCGATCGCCAGGAGTCGTTTTTACGGCTTCAGCAATTCGGTGTTTCGGATGGAACCTACTTTTCGGATTATCTTCGGGCTTTCCGTTTGTTGGTTTCGTCGGTCACTGGGTCTGAGCGTGTGTTGGCCCTAAGCGTGTCGATGGACCTCGAGATCGTAGAAACTCTGTTAGTAAGCAGTTTCCGACTTTGGCAGTCGTGTTGTACCCTGGTGATTTGGCTACTGCGGTAACGCCTTTTGGTTTGATAGATGCCGTGTGGCAGGCATTCGCGTCGTTCGCTACCACCAAAAACCCTGCGATTCGGGGTTCCAACTATTTTTCTCCGTCTTCGACGCCCGGCTCCTCGCAGCCTCGGCGTTCACAGCCCCAGGACCGTGCGCCAGCGCCTTCGGGCCAGTGGTCGCAAGGTTCTGCACAGAACCCTGTTGTACTAACAGTAAGTTCTCAGGAGAGCGGTATGGATCCTGTCACCCGTGATTTCAACTCCTGGCCTGCGAAGCAGGGCGACTGGTCGACCGTGTACCAAATCAGCTCTACCTTTCGCAATGATGACCCCATTTTATGGACCCCTCTTTTGACACAAGATGCTCGCTCGCAAGCGTTCCAAGAGAACCGTAATCGTTGCCTCAATTGTGGTGGCGACGATCACTCCATGAAAAACTGCAAATCCCCGTTCATCAACTCTAGTGGGTTGTTGAACCCTGAGCTCGATGAAGTGTAAGATAATTCTGAAGGTTTTAGGCGTAGGCAAGGTCGCATGAGGTCCCACCGTCGCAAACAACAATACGGGATCCATTATAGTGGTAAGCGCAACTCGCGCCCCACCTCTTCTTCTCAGCGTAGAAATCACGCTGGAAGTCACCGGTCCCCCGGTAATTCCCACAATTCTGGTGCCAGCAATGGAAATTTTGCCAACAGTCGACAACACAGCAACACCCACCACACTGGTGCTCTGCAAAATCAACCGCAATCTGCTCCCGCCTTTCCAACGGCTTCGTCCTCCGGTGTCATGCATGGTCTCGACCAATTACAACGCCCGACAGCCAGGAAATTTCCATACCCGTGGTAGCTCGGGATGACATATCGGTGTCGGTTCGTATACCTCCCCCGAGCCGCCTTTGGCACCATCGGAAAATTAGCACGTTCGTCACAAGACGTACGTTTATCAGGGTTGGAACCATGCGCTCGTGACCCACCCAACATCAGTTCTGTGACAGCACCCGCTGTTTCTTCTGTTGTCTCTGTCAGACAGGCAGGGAACGCACGTGGTCGTGTTGTCCCCCCCTCTACTGGCATTTCGTCTGCGACCTCTGCTACTTCGCCTCTTCGAGCTGCACCTTCCTCGGGAATTTACCCAACCAATGGGAGTGCTGCCTTGAGGTGCGGGAACAGAGCGACAAGACGGGTAGGGCCACAGAGATAATCTCGACAGCTCCCCCTACCGTCTGCAGGTCAGACCGGCATGCGCCAAGTGTTTCCTACGATCTATGAGAATTCGTCGGAAGTGAAGATTCTGGTTTGTCTCATTCTTCTAGGCTCGCCTCAGCCGTTGGTTCGCCAACCGCCACGGAACCGGTAGCGGTTTCGTCAGGTCACGACCGACGATTGTCGCATTCCGGGGTTCAAGAAACCCCACAATTCCCAACGAACGGTAGTGCAGCGGTACATGCGAAGCATACCCCGCCAACGACGTGGAGAGTGCTGACCACACCGTCTCTTCAGGACCCTCGAGAGGCGCCCGCCGTTCATTGGCGTGCTCGCGATCTGCGTCAAGAGGGATTAGCCAGGAGCCACGTGCACCGTCCAATGTTTTAGTCGACAACGTACGAGTGGCCGACCCTAGCGAAAGCGATCTATCTTTCCCCCGGTCCGGTACGGGGGCGGGTAAGGTAGCAGATTTGGAAATGGACAGCTCTATGCGAAGCGTGGCGACCCCATTTGTCTCGGTGAATTCGGCAGTGGATTCGAATTCTCCGAATGAACCCTTTCCTGTTTTAGGAACTCCAGCAGTGGGTGCTACTCCCACTCGTACTCCTGGTGCTCGGCAGCCCTCAGAAGGTGCTGTCTTTGATGCTTTCCAGGAGTACCGCACTTCAGATATGATGTTGTTCTTGAAAAGTCCCTCCCCGTTTTGCCAATGGACACCGTCTACTTTTGTTGATGGTGTTTATTATTTGTGTGCCGAGCAATTTTTCGCTGCCGAAAAAGCTCGCCTCTTTGGAGATACACACATTTTGCAGTGCATCATGAGCGTTTCTGACCCCAGCCTTCACAAGAAGTATGGCCGTGAGGTTAGTGGTTTCGCCCAAACTCTTTGGGAACAAGAGCGCGACGACATCGTGCTCACCGGTTCCTACGCTAAGTTTAGTCAAAACTCAGAGTTCTGCCAACATCTGCTTGGTTTTGGGACAAATTGTTAGCCGAGGCCAGTCCGTATGACCGTATCTGGGGTATCGGTCTCCTTGCGGATCATCCTGACGCTCGCCGTCAGCCGAGGTGGCGTGGTCTAAACTTGTTGGGAAATGCTTTGCAGAAGGTTCGCCAACTTTTACGATCTAACGCCCCTCCACCGGAACGTAGTTCTCGCCTTTCAACAGTTTCTTCGACTCCCACTTCGCCGTCGGAACGGGGTACCGGGTTAGAAGTTAATCCTTCTACACATCAACGTATTTCGACGACTTCTGAGCCGTCCTCTCATCGTTTTCCATCTTTTGCGCAGTACGCCCCCCAAGTTCCTTCTGATCATGACACTAGTGTTTGGGCTGTGTCTGCTGGCGAGGATCGATCTCGTTCCGCTTAGGCTCTGCTACCTGATAGGTTCTAGTTTAGTCGGTGGTGTAATTACCATCGATGACCACTCTTTCACTACCAAAATCCTTACTCACAGTGGCCCAGCCTCTGCGCAGTTTAGATGCGTGGCTTTGTTGGATACGGGCTCTCCGCAATCGTTCATCAGTTCCCGTACTTGGGAATCCATGAAATCTGCTGATGCAGCTTCGTCTTTGTTTGAAATACGCACAACACCTCGGTGTTGGGCCGGGTTTGGTGAATCTGCCCCCCTTCAGACGTTGGTTTCGGTCCGTGTAAGAGTGCAGTTTCTTCGACGTAAGGTTCCAATTGCTTCTCTTGCCGTATGGTGGTACTTTGTTCCTGATGGCGTCATGCATCATGACGTATTGCTCGGCAGAGATAGCTGGATGCGGTTTAGCGACCGCTCCTACTGCACTTTGGCCTCCAAAAGGGCAGGAGAAAGTGTTTTCGGTGAGCTCACTTTGGCTCACTACAAGAAGAGTGGCGCCGAAGCGTTTGTTCGCGATGTCTCCGCGTCCACGGGGAACTACCAGCTCAGGTACGCTGGCAAACACTCCATTCAATTGCTGCCTATGCATCAACTGGTGCAAGTTGATATGGTACGTAGCGATGGTTCACCTGCCCTGGTGGGTAATTACATGGTGGATATGCTCCCTCAAACGTCCATGTTTTCGTCTGAAGAACATTCGTCACGCATGGCCGTCAACGTGTCCCGTTGGCGGGTGTTTCGGATTTGGAGCCCGAAGATGTTTTGGGTACTGCTTCTGCGCCCCTCCCCCAAGTACCCCCCAGCGCTATCCCGCAAGACGATTTGAGCGTCGGTCTTCAAACCGCCGTCGGTCCGCCGGATACCGCTTCTGATGCCTCCAGCTCCGCTGGTTGCGTCCCTGGTCCCGTATTCTCCGATGGTAACCCCCGTTCTGCTGTGCCGCCAACGGTCGGCCCGTTTGTGTACAACTTGCAAGAACGTTCTACCAAACCGTCGCACGCGGCGTGTGGTGAAGGGTCTTCCGGTGATCCCTTTGCTTCACCTCCGCCGGCCCTGATGGAACGCTTGAGCCCGGACAACGTGAGAGTTTCTCCCTCATGTGGTCGAAACTACCTCCTCATATGAGAAAAATCACGTTCAACTTACACGGTCCTGGTTGGACGCCTGAAGTTATCACCGAGTTGGGGAATGTTTTGTGCGAAAACTACGATGTGTTTTCCCGGTCTCCCACGGATTTCGGCTCATGCTCGCTGTTTCCGTTCAAGTTGACCGTTCCGCCTGGCAGTGAGCCAGTCACCTCTCGCCCATACCGAGTTGACCCTCCAGTGGCGAAGCAAGTGGACGCTATTCTCGACCAATATCTTGCTGCGTGTTTCATCCAACACTCTACGTCTCCGTACTCGAGTCCCTTGGTTGTCATCCCCAAGAATCCTGGTGGTGTGCGTATCACTGTCAATTATCGCAAGCTGAATAAGCTTTGTACGCTTAGCCAGCTTCGAATACCCAGAGTTGACGATACTCTGGACAAGTTGTTGAAAGGGAAGATTTATTCTCTCTTATACATGAAGTCTTCGTTCCATCAAATCACGGTGCATCGTGATACCATCCCGCTCACGGCGTTTGTTACGTCTTCTGGGCTTTTAGAGTGGTAGAAAATGCCTCAAGGTAGTTCTGCCGCTCCTGGGTGGTTCTGTAAGGTCGTCAACGAAGTAATCAAAAACCTTCGCGGTGTCGCTTCCTACTTGGACGACTTGATCGTTTTTGCTGAGACCTCCACTGCTCATGTAGCAACCATTCGCTCTCTTTTGGAAAAATTTCGTTTGCACCATTTGATATTGACGCCTCCCAAAGCCACTATTGGCCCCACGGAAGCGGAATTTCTTGGGCATTCCATCTCTCCAGACGGTGTCAGGCCTAACGGTGACAAAGTTGCTGCGCTCACCAACACGCCTATGCCCAAAGACGCCAAGCAGCTACGCGCTCTCCTCGGTGGTCTGAGCTATTACCGAAAGTTCCTTCCACAAATGGCTAAGCGTGTCCGCCCTCTGACCACCCTTCTCAAGAAGAACGTGCGATTTGACTTCAAGGATTCCATGGAATCCGCCGTTCGGCAGCTCCTTGCCGAATTAGCGACTCCGCCAGTTTNCGCCTATGCCCAAAGACGCCAAGCAGCTACGCGCTCTCCTCGGTGGTCTGAGCTATTACCGAAAGTTCCTTCCACAAATGGCTAAGCGTGTCCGCCCTCTGACCACCCTTCTCAAGAAGAATATGCGGTTTGACTTCACGGATTCCATGGAATCCGCCGTTCGGCAGCTCCTTGCCGAATTAGCGACTCCGCCAGTTTGGTGTATCCTGAGTGGGATGCCGTCTCTGATGGGTCGCGGCCCTTTCGCCTTTATTGTGACGCGAGCCGCGATGGATTTGGTGGCACTCTTGAACAAGAGCAACCTGATGATTTTGCTCGGCCTATCGTTTTCGTTAGTCGAGCGACTTTGTTTGGAGTCTGCGCGCCATTGGACTCCTCTCGATCTTGAAGCTGGCAGCATCGTTTGGTGCATTACACGTCTTCGTGGCTATCTATTGGGTACCCACTTCAAGATTTTCACCGACCACAAGTCTCTCGAGTATTTGGTGAGAGTTGGTGAGAACAACGGCCGCGTACAACGTTGGCTGGAGTTTCTTGCCGCGTATACATTCACTCTCGAGTACCGCAAAGGTTCCGCGAATGGCAACGCCGACTTCCTTTCTCGCCTGCCGATGGAAGCTACCGAGCGTGACTGTTCTGGTCGCAGTCGTTTGACTCCAACGGCTGATGACGAGGCTGTGTATTTCATCCGTTCTTGTGGTCTTGTGTGCCTTCTGGCGCTCCGACGGGTGTTGGGTTGGGTGGGCTACTTCCGTCTGTGCCGAGCTCTGTCTTGGGTGGGCTACGGCCTTCTACTACTGACTTCGCTGACTTTCGGAGCCATGGTCCGCGTGTGGGATTCACTACCCCGGACGCTTCTTCCGGGTTTCGGTTGGTGCCGGACTTGCCGCCAACCGTCATTGGTGCCTTGGGTTCTGCCGTCGTTTGCAATCGCCCTTCCTTGGTTGCGTCCCACCAACTCCGACCTGCTGGAGTGTTTCCCGTGAACGACGGGGGCGACACCGTTCGTGTCCCCTCTCGTGGTGTCTCGCGCCCACGCTCACTTGATCCCACCGAAATGATTTCAACACGAACTCGTGGGCGTACGGCCGCTGTTGCTGCTGCTCCTTGCCCCGCTGTTGATTATGGTTTTTCGGACTCTGAGGAATCTCCGGGGACCACCCCTGTGGCTGTCGTACCTCATGCATCTCGTTCGTCGGATCACGGACCGATCGATTCCGTCATTTCGACGCCTTCGGGCCCGGTTTCGCCAGCCACTCCTCGCGTGAGTGCGTCGACGTCGGCGCCCACGTCCGACCAATCGCCACGCGTGAGTGCGTCGACATCGGCGCCCACGTCAGAGCCGTTGCTTCGTTCTTCGCCCGTCCCACCGGCGGTTGAGGATGTTGCGCCTTCGCGCGCTGAACTCGACTTCCGCGAATCTGTCGCGAGTTTTCTCATTCAGATTGGACACGAGAACAACGCAGCGAAGCGGTGTGTGATGCGACCATCCGTTATCTTCACCTTGGCCAGCCTCCGGCTTTGCCGCCGGGTTTGCTTGTTCACATCCCGTTACGCCGTCAACCGTCGTTATCGGACATCCGCGAATTGGCTGTAAAAAGTTGTTTGCACGTCGATCACGATGGCGTGGTTCTCCTTGTACGGAAACCTACTCAGATTCCGTCCGCTTCGTCCACACGCCCCGGCGGGCGTGCATCGCGTCTTCTAAATGATGAACCTGTTCGAGTTTATGTTCCCATGTTGATGCGCCCGTGGATTATGCATTTATGCCATGCCGATGTATCATGTCACTTTGGTGCTGCTGGCACATTGTGTATGTTGGAGCGTTTTTATTGGTGGGTGGGTATGAGCGCTTCTACTAAATGGTGGATTCGCCATTGCCTGCGCTGTCAAGCTCGCAAAACTACTTGGCACATGGCGCGGTGGCCTGTTTTGAGCATGCCGTTCCCATCCGGACCTGGCATCTCCGTGAGTGTCAATGATTTCGGCCCTCTACCGACCACCCCTTGGGGTGACGCTTATGTTCTGCTCTTCACCGACCGTTTCAGTCGACGTGCTGACATGTACGCCGTCACAGCCGCTGAGTTTGCTTCCGAAGGTACAGCAGATATATTGGTAAATCGGTACATCCCTTTGTGGGGTTGCCCCTTGAGCCTCTTGTTTGACAATGGCACGCAGTTCTGTTCCAAACTGTCGCGCGCTGTCTACCAGCCTCTCGGGGAACGCAAAGTGGCGACTAGCGCTTACCACCCTAACGGTGATGGCGGTGTAGAGCGTGTCAACCACACTATGGCGCAAATGCTTGCCATGGTAGCCAACGAACGGCAAGACGACTGGGATGCCCATCTCCCTCACGTGAAGTTTGCGCATAACAACTCTGTTAGCACCGCCACCGGTTTAGCGCCGAATGAAGTGCACATGAACCGTCTGCCTCGACTACCGATGACCGTTATCGAGCATCCTTATGCTCGAGGTCATCAAAGCTTGGACCGTTATCACCTTGAATATTGCGATCTTGCTACAGGTTGCCAGCGTCGTGCTTACGCGCTGTTGCGGGAACAGCACACCTTGTCCATTTCACGTATTGAGCGTCGCATTCAGCTCTTTCGGATGCTTTGCACAAGCTTCCAACCTTCACTGTCGGTGGTTGGGTTTAGATTTATCACTCCGAATCCACCATTCGCTCAGGTATTCGGGCTGACACTGATGATAAGGTACTCAAAGTGAAACTTTCTTTGCTATGGACTGGTCCATTCAAGACTTTGGCTGTTGGCCCCTGTCTGAAGGCTCCTGATGGCAGCCCGTTGGCAGCTAAGTTGCTGTTTTTGCATCTTCCGTCGGACCTGCCAGGCACAGACTCGAAGCGTCTTGTTTCGGTTGCACGTTGCAAACGGTGCCTCAACCCGCATCACACCGATGGTATGCCTAGGTTTTTGCCTGCCGGCCTCACTCAGTACGTTCTGAACAACTACACGAACAAATCTCCTCCGTACCATGTGACGGAAGACGATGTGTCGACTCCGGTCGAACGTCCGGAGGTGGACCAGGTTACGGGTCGCCAGTCTGTTCGCGGTCGTGGTGGTATCATTGCTGTTTTGTGTCAGATGCACTGGAAAGGTCTTCTCCGCCCACCTTGGGAACGCGAGATGGACCTTCAGCACGCCAGATCCAACATTCTCCGGTATTGGGCGGGTTCGCCCGACCAACATCGCCGGACGAATCGGCGGTATCGCGCCATGCGCATTGGTGCCGCTGCTCGGGAATTGACAATGCTAAAAGAGAAAGACACTTGCCTTCGGGTTATTCCCTCGTCTCTCGTTCTACTTGGGATCGCAGCTTCGCCGCTGCTCCTCTTCCTGTGGGCGCCTTTTTCTGGTAAGGCTCAAGATGGTCTCTGGTTGCTGGGCAATATTTTCACGAAGATCACTACATCGTTCGCTTCCTCGACAAGCCTGGGTCGATCAAGATCGCCCTCTCCGCTGCTCGATATGATACCGCCACAAATGCCTTGTGCGGATCGTGGTGCCTCCAAGTACACCGTGGTAGCGCTCTCCTCAAGGGCATCCTTCGTTACGTCGGTATGTCGCGTGGTGCTGAGGCGGGTGATCCGCTTCTCGGCGATCCTGCGCGCACTGCTTAGCGCTTGAGTGTAGACTATGGTGTTATTTTTTTTTCGTCGTACGATCAGTTAATTGCGGTTCTGACCGTCTGTTTTGAAAGTTTTAAGGCTGGTGGTTTGGCTTCTCTTCCCGACTTATTTTATTTGTTTGGGACCTTCGCCCATAATTGTGCTTTTTAGGGCATTTGCATCGGTGTTGCGTTTCGTTTGTTACGACCCCTTTTCCCTTCCTTCGGACGATCGCCTTGATGTCGTTTGGTACGTCATTTCGTTTTAGTGTGTGGTTTTTCTTTTCTATAGCCGCGATTTTGGGCAGTTGATTGGTACTACGAACCCATGTGTTTCGTCTCTGTGGCGCTCGGTTTTTCACCGTTGGTTTGGTACGTCATTTTACTATTCGGTTTTCTGCTTCGTTGCTTTTGTCGTTCTGACGATTGGATTCTTCTTTTCGGTGGTCGAGTTTGGCTGTGTCGCCTGTCCTTAGGTTATGGTCTTTTCGTTTGTTTTCCGTGTGGGCTTCTGCTGTTATTCCCTTTTGTTCAATAGCGCGTTCACATTCGTGTCACGACGATGGTCTTTGTCCATCCAATGTGAAGGTGTGGGAGGGTAAATTGTTGAGTTGTGGAGTTTCGCATCTTCGATTCATCTTTGAATTTTAGATTTGACTTCTTCGTCATATCTTGGGGTTTCCATGTACCTGCATATACGAACCTCCAGGGTGGGCTAGTGTTATGGGATTTGAGTACAAGGATCNATAGCGCGTTCACATTCGTGTCACGACGATGGTCTTTGTCCATCCAATGTGAAGGTGTGGGAGGGTAAATTGTTGAGTTGTGGAGTTTCGCATCTTCGATTCATCTTTGAATTTTAGATTTGACTTCTTCGTCATATCTTGGGGTTTCCATGTACCTGCATATACGAACCTCCAGGGTGGGCTAGTGTTATGGGATTTGAGTACAAGGATCTTAACGGCAGTTCTTGGCGAGATATGTAGATCTGGCGGGAACTTTGGGTTATTGCTTAAAGGGGATATAGCCATGGCATCCCCCCTCTCAGCAAGGAGCGGCCCGCGCCCCCTTCCGTTCAGTCTATTTACGGAGCTAAGAACAGCAAGTGTACTGCTGTGTTGAGAGATAGCAAGAAAGAGAACAAGAACAAAGTGAGTCATAATCGGGTCTTCAGGGTTAGCTACGCGTTCCCACAACACACGGCAACGATCGGGGGAAAAAGCAAAAACAGAGAAAGAGAGAGAGAGAGAGAGAGAGAGAGAGAGAGAGAGAGAGTAGGCGATGATATACTACATACATACGCTGCCGCTCTAAGAGTCAATACGACAACACGTACGTACGTACGTCCGNATACTACATACATACGCTGCCGCTCTAAGAGTCAATACGACAACACGTACGTACGTACGTCCGAATTTCTGTCTCCTAAAAATATATAGATAGATCTACTCCGTAATAAAAGTGGTCGAATATAGTATTAAAACATAATATAAAAAATCTCTACTGAAATGAATTGCGCGCTCAGCATTAAATAGTTCTATACTTCGTAAAATGTTGTTGCTGCTGTGGAACATAAAACCCTAGCTGACCAAAAACTTGCCATTGAACGATGGGAAATGGAAGACATTACTCGGAGTTTCTGCTTTTTGCGTGGGGGGGACGGCAGAGTAAGTGTGCTCTTATCGGCCGCGTGGGTGGTGTTGCCACAACTGTTCCCGCCCCCGTCACTCCATCACTATAGATTCATGGAATTTGCTAGTAGGATGTGATTTACTTCAACATCAAGCTTAGCGGTATAATACCGTTAAACTATGCAGATCCATGTTGCCGGTTCAGTCCTCCCCGCGTTTAGTGTTCTTCCTGCGCTGATTATCTCGAAAGAGAGGAAAATTGTCTGCCGATATATCGCTTGATTAACCCAACCGTATGTTGGTAAATCAGTGGCTTCTGGAGAAGAATATTGTATTAGTGAGACCTAGGTATGGAGAGACAGGTCGGAAAGTGGAGTG